CAAAATAAATGTTCATAATGTAAACATGAGCTAAGAGAGAAGGCCATGCTGAGAGGAAAAACTACAAGACCAACAAGCAGGTCAGCTACAGCCAGAGAGAGGATGAGAGAGTTTGTAGGAGTGTGGAGCTGTTTGAAGTAAATGATAGAGATTATTACCAGAAGGTTTCCACATACTGTGACAACAGATAATGACCCAAGAAAAATAAATATTAAAACACATATTGTAGAAGGAGTGCTTGTCAGTCTGTAGGAGACATTATATATTTCATAACAGGGATGTATGTCATTCACATCAGTGCGGCTGACTTCTGGTGCCATGTTTCTTTATTCCTGTAAGAATGTCCATTAAGAATAAATATTTTCCATGAGGAACCAACAACATTAATGCATGAAAGATGTATGTTTATCTTAAAATATTTTGATATTCATGAATGTTAAACTACAATGATAAATTTCTAGAATAAAATATTTTGTTTGTCGTACCTTTTAAATGCTCAAGATAGTTTGCAGTATTGATGGGTGTTCTTCATTACAGTGCCACTGTGCACACTGTTTTTATCAACCCCCATATCATTACCATAATGAACACACTCTGTTATTGTCCAATCAGAAGTGGGACTTTTTAATGTGATGATATTAGAGCAACATACAGAACAATAGATGAGAATACTTTTAAAATCTCGTTTGAATCCTTTTATTTTGCCAAATGGAATGGGAAATCCTATTCACACTTTGACGTTTGAGGCATGACAGAACAAAAAAGAAGGTGGTGTCTGTGCCTTTGTCCATGGATCAGCAAATGTTGAAAAAAGTACTTTAATGAAAGCACCAAAACACTTTTCATGGAAACTATCACATTTGAATCTGCCATAATTTCAGATCATGTTGATGATCTGTTGAATTCCTGCAAATGTCATTGATGCCATTGCTAGTGTTAAGGTGAAATTCATTAGTAACAAGCAAAAGGCATCATGGAGAAACACTCATTCTGTAAGAGTCCAGAAAAGGAAGTGCCGGAAAGCAGAACAAATATGGAGTAAATCAAAGCTCCACATACACTTTGAAATCTATAAAGAAATATTATGCATTTATAATCAGACCTTGCGAAGTGCAAGGCAATATTTTTCTCTGACAAAACAATAGAACGCACATGTATTATTTGCTACTGTAAACAGATTAACTAACCATCAAGTTCCAATATCACCAGAACTCGTCTCCACCAGCAAATGTAACGAGGTTGCAGCCATTTTTAATAACAAGGTTCAAGACATCAGATGTGTGATTAACTCCTTGATGCTGAAGAATAAAGTACCATCATTGTAGTCTTCTCAAAGTAACTTGTTAGGTATGACAGAATTTAGGTCTGTCAATGACAAAACACTGGAAGAAATTGTCTCCAGTCTCAGTTCTTCCACTTGCTGACTTGATGTTTTACCCACTAGCTTCCTTAAAACTGTGCTGAGCAGCCTGGTAAAACAACTAACTGTGATAGTTAATGTCTCCCTCCAATCTGGCACTTTTCCAAATGCTTTGAAAACTGCAGTCATCAAGCCTCTCCGAAAGAAGAGCAGTCTTGATGCCTCTGTACTGAACAACTATCAGCCTATTTTAAACTTAACGTTCTTAAGTAAGGTTATCGGAGGTCGTCTACCAGCAATTTAGCAACTTTCTGCTGCTGGATGTAAGTGCTGCTTTTGACAAAGTGGACCACACAGTTTTGTTATAAAGACTAGAAAATTGGGTCGAACTTTCTGGAACTGTCCTTAAATGGTTCAAGTCATATCTTCATGATAGGAAGTACTTTGTCTCGATCGGTAACTACTAGTCAGAGCAGATGGCCATGGCATGTGGGGTCCAACAGGGATCCATTGTGGGACCCCTCTTGTTTAATTCCCCTATGCTTCCATTAGGCCGAATCATACAAAATAGCCTACCATAATTATGCAGATGACACACAAATATACAAATCACTTTCATCAGGTGATTATGGATCTGTAGAATGCATGTTTCACTGTACTGAGCAAATAAATGATTGGATGTGTCAAAATTTTCTCAAACTCAACAGAGATAAGACAGACATAATTGTCTTTGGACCACTGAAAGAAAGAGATGTAAGCTCTCACCTCAAATTCCTCTCTCTTATTAGTAAGAGTCAAGGAAGAAACCTTGGTGTTATCTTGGACTCAGATTTAAATTTTCACAGCCACATCAAATGTGTAATGTCATCTGCCTACTGCCATTTAAAAAACATTGCTAGAGTCAGAGTAATACGGTCAAAGCAAGACCTTGAAAGGCTCACCCACGCCTTTATTTCCAGTAGATTAGATTACTGCAATTGACTGTTTGTAGGACATTCAAAAGAAGCTGATTCAGAATGCTACTGCTAGGGTCCTGACACAAACTAGGAAATAACCACATTACTCCAGTTCTAAAATCCTTATACTGGTTACCTTATCTAAGGCTGGTGCACCGACCATCCCAAATACATCACAAACCAGGAATAACCTCCCAAATGATGTTAGTCAAGCCCCGACTCTGACCACTTTTAAGTCAAAGCTAAAAACATTCCTATTTTACACTGCCTAGTCCACCCTGTAATGACTGCAACCTTATTTAAAAACTAATTTTTAAATCATTTTAAATAATCTCCATATCTTTGCACCTCTTGTCTGAACATTTGATATTTTTAATGATTTTTTTTATTGTAAATCAATTAGTAATTGAAGAAAATTGAAGAAATTGAAGAAAACGTGGAATGTTTACTTGTACCACGCGGGGAAACAGCAGACGGCGTAACCACTATTAGCACTGGGCTAACGGAAGACCACCAACACAGCTTACCGGAGGCCGATCCAACGCACCAGGCCCAGTATTTGGGCCTGCGCTGGTAAGTCTCGTTGACCAACTCTGACCTGTGTGTACGGCCTTATAATCGAATTTACTCTCCACCATGGGCTGCCTCTGTGGAGCCCTCACGAGTAAGTCTCACCCTGTGCTACTGTCTCTGTTTACCTCACCAGCCTACAGCTACCACCACAACTATGACCCTTCACCTGTTTCAGCTCCATTACTGGCCACAGTTGTGTTTATTCCTCCCCAGAAAACCTCCACCGACCCCACTGTGACATGCCTCCACTCACCTCGCCTGGTTGTGACAGCTGCCACCAGCTGAGCCAGAGGATCAGCAAGCTGGAAGGGAGGATGTCCATGCTGTACCAGCTGAGGGTAGAGGAGCAGATCATGGACTCAATGGTCGTCGCTTTGGGTCCTGCTGCTAACTCCACATCTATGGGAGAACTATACTCAACTGTCCCCCTCCCGTCTCCGAACAGCGCAGCCATCACAGCTACAGTTCACTGGTCTCGGTTAGGAGCAAAGCCCAAGGCTCTGGTTAACTTCACTCCCACTCCCAGATCCCGTCGGGAGAAATCGTGGACTAATGTCCGGAAAGTACATGAGATGGAAAGCCTCAACACAGCTCACCTTCGTCTCAGCCCCTCCGGGTGTCCAATATGTTTTCCATCCTGAATGAGGATCATTTTCCACCACTTAAAAATGACAACTCTCCTCCGCCATCAAAGCCGGCTTCCTCCATTCAATCACACAATCAAAAGCTCCTGAAAGAGGCCGTGCCCAAACGCTCTGGGATTCCTCCCCGCTCGGAGCCAGTGTCGGGGAATCCCTCTCCTGGCCCAACTGCTGCTGTCCCCTCCGCCAACCTGGTCCGTCCTCACTCCACGTCCCCTTCTCACAGCGCTGACTCAGACTCCACTCTCCCAGGCAGTTTGAACCAGCAGTCGTCACCTCCTCGTTCACTCTTCTCCTCAGCCACATTAATAGCTGGAGACTCAATAATCAGAAATGTGTTGAAAATGTGCTTTTTCAATGCTGCCTCACACTGTTTCCCTGGGTCCACAGTTCCCGTCATACTCAGAACACTCCCGGTGCTGCTGTGCTCTCTTCCATCCTCCATAAGACGAGTGGTTGTTCATGTTGACTCCAATGACACTGCTTGTAGAGAGTCTGAACTGACAAAAAATGACTTTAAGGACCTTTTAAACTTTTTAACCAGCTGTGGGAAATCTGTTTTTATTTCCAGGTTGATTACCACCGCCACCTGCAGAGCAGAAGGTTTTTCAAGGATTCTCAGCCTCAATACCTGGTTACAGTCCACCTGCTTCACTCACAATATTAACTTCATAGACAATTTTAATCTGTTCTGGAACCGCTTCCTCCTTCTCAGAGCTGACGGCGTTCATCCAAACGGGCACGGTAGCCGCATGCTAATGGCTAACGTGCAACAAGCCGTCCAGACTGCTACACGTGAACGACTGTTTACCTGCCACACCCCCACCACTCACTCTTCTTCTCCTTCCAAAGCTCCACTGGCACCTCGCTGCTCGTTTTTGCCCTCTAGCTCCCCTCCTCGGCCTCACCAGTCATTACAACTACAACCTGTTATTTCTCTCATCTATACCATCATCAGATGCAGGCGCCCCCCTCCACCCAGCACAAGACATATTGATCTGGTCAATCTCCATCCACTTCCCAGGTCCTCATAGTCAAACACAAATTGGCTATATTCAACACCCGCATCCTCAAAAACAAAAGTCTCATTCTCAATAACCTGGACTTTCTCTGTCTCACTGAAACCTGGCAAAAACCTCTGGACTACTTCTCATTAAACCAAACCACCCCTACAGGATACACTTACAATGGACAAACCCCATACAGAAGGCCGGGGAGGTGGCATTGCTGCCATCTGCAGAAAACAATATCAAAACAACCACCATCTCCATCTCCATGAAAACGAATTAAGGCATGTTAATTGGGATGAAATAACTTCTGATATAAACTGTGAACAGGCATGTGACAACCTAATGGCAACAATTAAACCGATTACCTTAAAATATACAACAACTGTGCAAAGCAAACACAAGGTAACACAAGAGCTACCATGGCTGCATGACACACTCTGGAACCTCATGAAAAAAAGGGACTCAGCCCTTAAAAAATTCCTAAAATCTGGTCTAAGTACAGATCGCCTGATCTTCAAAAGCCTCAGAAACAAAGTCACGATGCAACTTCGGAAAGCAAAAGCAAACTTTTTCTTGGAGATAATTAAAGATGCAAAAGGGAACAATAAAAAGCTTTGGAAAAGTATTGACAAACTCACAGGAAAGGAATGTTCAAAGAGTGAAGTCATGCAGCTTAAACTAAATGGTACACATATCTCAGACAGCCTAGATATAGCCAGCAATTTTAATGACTATTTTATTATGTTTGTTCAGGAACTGAGTCACAACTTCTCACAAATC